GAACACCTCATGACATCAACACCAACATGAACACCTCATGACATCAACACCAACATGAACACCTCATGACATCAGGATATCATGAAAACTCATGATATCAGCATCATCATGAACATCTGATATCAGCACCATCATGGACACCTCATGACATCAGCATATGAAAACTTATGATATCAGCATTGTCATGGATACATGATATCAACACCAGCATGAACACCTCTTGACATCAACACCAACATGGACACCTCATGACATCAGCAATGTCATGAAAACTCATGACACCAGCATCATCAAGGACCTATGATAGCAGCACAGCTAGTCTGCAGGTGACAGCACCATTTGATCCCGCTATGGGAGTTGAGGAGTGTTTCCTCTGCCAAGCCTGTGGCAAAGATCATGAGCTCAACACCTGTTTTATCCTGTATCTATCTGCACTACTGAAACTGACAAGCGTCACCTGCTTAAATAATCTTACTACTAATGTCATACAGTTTAGCAAGCAGTGAACTGACAACCCATGTATTGCTTTGATATCATATCTCATATAGTTGTTAGATAATATTCATTACCATCATACTCATCATCATCATCACACACATCATCGCAGCTTGGTCTCTGCCAGCTGTATACAAAATTTACAATAAGAATCTCTATATGTATCCTGAACTAGGTTTCAACAGAAAAAAAGTGCAGATCACAAAACAGAGCATTTTTTTAAGAGAGCACATGTGTAACAATCCTTGCATTATGTTCCACCATTCCATGAATCAACATGGGATGAATGTTATGTCAACAAAGTGTGACCTCAGTCGGTAAGTGCAACTGACGACAACCTGATTCCAAGACTGACATCTGCAACATACAACATACTGCAGCAGGAGCCAGCATGAGGCCGAGAAACGATTAGCTGTATAAGATGATTACTTTGTCCTGGCAATCACTGGATGCAACAGACAGAACTGAATGAACCACAAATCAACAGCAAAATCAACCTTTGTTCCTGGACAGACAAAGCCTGGTCCCCAACCCCACAATGGTGTAAGCGTCTTACTTGATTGAGTGACACAGACAAGCATTGATACCCCTTGTCATTTGCATAAATCACAGCCATGAGCTTTAAACCACGTGGAAACTGAATAAGCCATATCACTTTCAATGATCCAATCGTACATCAGTTAATTTTATACTTTCTAATCATTCCAAGGATTAATGTCTCAAAATGATAGAAATCTGGAGCTAATTCTGATAAAATATTCTTAAAGTTGAGCTGTAGAATTAATCTTCAGTATCACTAAATTCATCACTGAGCCTTTTTCAATAAGGTATTAAAAGGTGTGTGAATGACAATTAGTCAACAGTTGGTATGATAGATGGCTTTATAGAAATAATGGACAAGGTTTAGAAAGTAGGGTCCACAAATGTATATGAACAACCTATTGATAACTCTTTTGGGGATTTTTATGAAATACATATTCAAATATTTATACATTTCAGAACATTTTACGGAAGTACTCAGCAATAGAAATTGTAAGTAGGTGTTCTAATCAATTCTACATATGGATATTGACAAGCTACATATAGACATTGCAGACATTTATTTATATATTGAAAATAGCTCAGGTGTGTTTTATTGAAATGAAGTTTCATGTTACTATTTCATAATGTCTTAAAAATGAACTGAAAACAGTATTTATTACCGGTACAAGAAATAGGACAAGACAGAGCAAATTACTGAAGCAAAGGTATATTTCATCTCCTGGTAATAAATATGTTTCAAATCAAATACAAAATGGTAAAACACAACTGGGGTAGACACTCACACAATATAAACTTAAATCAAGCCTATAATTAATATTGTGTTCAAGCAGTTATGAAATACAGATATATACATACTATTAATGGCAGACATGTACGTGCCTAACTAAACACTTTACCAGCAAATGAATTTCTGCCCTTAGAATATTATCATTTTGTTCTGCAACCTATTGTATGTAGTGAGCTATATATACATCGGAACTAGACAATTTCACAAAAACAACTCATGCTTAACTAATCTCATGTTGATAATACCTGACTCTGCTAAATCTAACTGTTGTCATTTTGCACAATTTCTGTCAAACCTGTCATGCTATGCTGATGAGAAGTAATACATTTCAAATGCAGCAAACAAATACATGAATGACATCATTAGCACTGTCAACAACATCCTCAAATAGGGTCCTACTGGAAATACATTTACGAGATGGTATTGGAAAGGTTATATTCATATATAATTTAAATAGTAAGGTTAGAGACTTTACACTCCCTCCCATACATATTGTTCATCATGGGCAGTGAATACAGTCATGCAGATGTGAAGATAAACATGCTTAACAAGTAATGAAGTGTGTCTTTTAAGATTAAGAAACTTGTTCTTGAAAATGAGTAATTTTCAATTTGTATTTGTAATGGCCACAACTATGAAATTACTCCTGCACAACAGAAATGCACATTTGGACAATGTCATCACTCCTAAAAGATTTGTGTGTCATATAGATTATTCAAAGTAGAAGTAGACATGGATTTGACATGAAATGGGGGAATATACATTCTGTCAATTTTCAAGTAAGTCAAAAAAATCATTTCATATTTCTAAAGTAAGATATGATACATATCAACATTAACCAGATACATACCTCTACACGAATACAAATGATTTCTGAACTTAGCATATCAGGATAAATATACTGAGGTACCTTAAAATACGGGGGGAAAATCAACAAACGTGGTGACAATAGAAAATCTAGTTAGATTTTAGATATGAAATTATGTCTGCATTGATTAAAATACATTTAACAAAACATCCATTTTATGTTTTGGTACTAGCAGTTTATTCTTTAATCTTATATTTGAAATATGACACAAGTTTTCTTTTCACTTCCAACATTATAATTGGAAATATTTTTTCAACCAAAATTAAAAGTACATATTCCATTAGTGTATTAGCTGAAACTAAATCACTGCAATATATTAACAAAGAAAAATCAACAAAATCTGACTAAATTATTCATGTGTGAAAAAACTGAGGAGTAATTTATGGAAAACCTTATTACCGGACAATATATGAACACGGAGACATTGATTAACAATTTTGTTTTGGAACATCAATCTCATGATATCTTCTGATCATTAGAGAAAACTATTTAATGCTCACATATGCAAGGTAAAATGGTTAAATTCATAAATATTTTCCTTTTGATATGTGAAATGACACTAGTTTTGCGGTCCGCCAATCAAGCATCACCGCCACATCTTTGAAGTATGGCTCCAGGCTACCTTCTCCATTGCTGCCGCTTTGGATGTTGTCATTAAATTAATCAAACTAATCATTTGTGAGTGATAACAATCTGAGCGTTATACACGTCAAGATGATAATTATACGATGTCCCACACTCTGACATAGGAAAAAAGCAGGTGAAATCAACAACGGAACGTGGACATTTCATCAGTAATGCAGCATTGTCCACTTTACATCAATACCAATAAATAGCCATGAGGTTCTGGGTCAAGTTTTCATTGTATCTTTGTTGAAAAAAATATAGGTGAAAACACAATTAACAAATTAATGTTTATGGTGTATCTATTGATTGTAAACCCGATGTTTGATTAAGATTATATAGTATGAAGAATATCCAGCAAGGAAAATTTATTTCAGAAATTTTAAAGAATGTGTCGTTAATGTTAATAAAAATTCTGTGATGACATTGACTGATCAGAGTGAAATTACATTTGATTTAGTCTATGGAATATTTCTATATTGCTTTGTTGAACTGGAAATGGGTGTAGAAAAACGAAATATACACGAATGTATAGAAACCTTTTTTATCTTTCAGTAGTTTGTAACAATTTTATTTCTCTTTAAAACATTTATCAAAAATATTATCAGTCAAGAAACATTTAAAAATCATAAAGGAAAAAATATTTTTACATCCATCTCCACAAATCTTTATAAACTATTGCCATATAAATTGTCATAGGTAGTAAAAATATTTTCTGCAAGGAACTGTTTAAAAAACAATACCCAACCTATTATTCTAAGTTTGTTCAATACTAAAAATCACACTGAAATGTATAAATCCAGGTGACCAAGGTTTACTGTTAGTTTCTGGTAATGATAATTGTGTACCATTTATTTAAAATGTTTAAAAGTGTAATCCACAATAACAGCAGTACTTTCTCATGAAAAAGGAATCAGGTTATACACAAGAAAACAGTTCACTTTTTTAACCTTTCAATACCCTTCCTTGAAATATGTCCCACAGGCAGCTAGGAATTTCATTGTATCACAGTTCATATATCAAACAAAATCTCATCTCAGAAGAATCTTAGTTTGGTTAAGATTATTCCAAATACTTAAATGAAACATTCAAAGATTGTGAACACTGTTTGGTAGTTTGTTTATTTTACATTAAGTTGGAAAACTAACCAGAAAGAAACTACCACAAGCTGTTATTTACACTATATATGTAGTTCAATTTTACTCAAGTATGTTTAATTCAGTTTTCTGTGAATTCAATAACTGTCATATCAACAATCAATTTAACCAAACTAAAGTAAAATCAACAAAACATATTTTTACAGATATTAACAGTCCCATATTATCCCCTGGCCATGATACACAACTTAAGAGCCCAAAATTATTTTAAAAAACTGTCCTTGTTGAGCAGTGTGATTTAACATCAAAAGTATTCACCTAATTTTTATACAAACTCTAAGACATGTAAAACTCATAATTATCGTTTAAAGAAACAAAGTTTAAAAGTAAACAGTTGATGTTATTAATGAAACATCCTCAGAATTGAACTCTGGCAGCAGCTAACGAACCCTTTAATTCTGCCGGGGCAAACGGACATAGATAAACATGCTATAATAACTAATAACTGATCCCGTCATGCAACCCTCTGGCATGCAGGACAAGTATCCCAACATGGCGCCGACTGGCGTAATGTTTTGGTACGTACCTTTTGACGGTTCTCCGGCGGCGTTTAGTTGCATACATTGTTTTGATGACCCAGTCTTCCACCATTAATTGTCGGAGGAACTATTCCAAGATGTGCTACCTGTCAGCTGCTCAAGTCACACCAATCTTGACTGAATATATCCACATTCACATCTCAATTTTTTCCGAAAACCCCCCATAACAGTATAGCACTGCTTGTCTGTCCATGACAACGATCCCAACCAACAATCAGGAGATGCCAAGCATAGCCACACTCAACCTAGCAATAAATTAGCTTCCGAAACCAAAAATGGCCAAGTAGATAGTTATGATTCATATAGTGTTGGAAGCACCATGCTTTCACCCATGAACCGCCAGCCACGCGACCCGTCACTTTAATCAGTAGAGGCGGCTTGAAAAGCCTGGCTCCGCCCACCTCACTACGACTGACCAATCTCCTGCTGGGGCAGCCAATCACCCTCGTCAGTTCTCTTTGAACAACTCCTCTACAAAAACTAACATCAGGCAACGAGGGCAGAGTGTCTTGTGCTCTGTGTGTATCGAGAGCGACAAATTGGACCTCAACTGCAACTTTTGTCTACGTGTGACAGTCCTTGCAGAAGGGAGAAATGCAATCAGGCAATAAAGATGGCTTGACAAAAGCATGGGTGAGCAGAGGCAGGCAGTGGACCATGCCCAGCCACGTTTTTCTCTGTCATAGGGGTGGATTCTAGCAAGCGCCTCATTATAAAGGCATTACTTTCCACAAGCAATGGGACAGTTTTGTAATCTGCGCTCAAGTACTACCGATGAGACGCGGTGAAGAAAGACCGAGTGCTATAACCATGGGGATTATAAAGGAAATCGTATGTTGGACAAGCACTCCACTTGATACAGACATCAGTCTTTTGTCACAGTGTTCATAACATGTGAAGGGGTTGTCACTTTCACAATGACATACAAGTGTCTTGCTGAGCTCATGCATTTCACACGTTATCAAATTCAGTTTAACAATATCAATATTTACAATGACACACACATTGAAGGTGAAAACAGGGACGATCTATCAATGATAAATCAAGGTATTTTGTGGGTTAAACATATCCTCAACTTTACAACCGTTAAAGGGCATCTGAATATTTATTGGCCACATACTTGAAATAAATGCAATGAAGGAAAAAATATTGTTATGAAATATTGATACATTCATAAAACACAATCCTTTCTTTCAGACCTTTACCAATAGGACCATGTCTTTTTTGTAATATCAGTTTGTAGATTTCATAAGGCATCCATAATTTGGGCATAAAATATATCGCGGAGTGTAAAAAACATACTGGCACAAAGAACAAATGCGAATGATTAGGTAAATGAAAATGAAATGAAAATTTACCCTTTCATTTCATAAACTTCTTAAAGCCGTTTTTTTAAGTACAATTTTTCAGTAATCATAGCAGATACTTTTATGCATATAGACAAAGCAATTTATAGAGAGAAGTTTATAGTTTACAGAAAAGAGAAATGATGGTAAAGGGCCTAGAGTTCAAAGAATCTTTCCTAACACCGCATCATCATGCCAAAAGCAGGGGTATGTGTGTGAGGTTTGAGTAAAAACGTATTTCATCATGTTGGTTCTTGGGTAGTTTCACCCTGGAAATATCTCAAATGTGTTTGTAATTTTCATAAGTGTATATAAATTAATTAATCAAAATATGAGGTGTAAGGCACTTTAAGTTTTGTAGTTTATCTTTTCCTAAACAACTATGCATAAGACAATAATGCCAATGTATTAAAAGTCTGTTGGGTACAGATTCCATTGGATGTGAAAAGCAAACTATTGAGGAACATTATAAGAAGAGATCACTGAAAATCAGATGTTCTGGCATAAAATTTACATAAAAAGTATGTGCATGTTGATTGAAAGACACTGCCCAACAATACACATGCTCTGCAACAGTAGCATTCAAGGCATCTGTATACATTACGTGTGAACATCTGTATACATTATGTGTGGACAGTCTGAACACATGAACCATCATCAGAACTACATACAGGATGCATCATCACAAGTACAGCAAAACAGTAACACACGACAACTTTCTTCATCTGAAGGTATTTGGAGACAATAAACATTGAAACTACAGGGGTGAAAAAAGAAGAATTCATTATATCCTTGTATTATGAACTTCAATAAGACTTTTGTGTCTAACAGCCTGTTTTCATTCATTAGTGAAGATGTACATCCACCCATGTTGTTACAGGTTGGTCAATCTCAATATATAATTCACATTGTTACAGGGTTGGGGTGGGTGTCTGGCTTCACAAATATAGATATGGTGTCAATGACATGGATTCCAAAAGTAGGGTCTGTTAGTCACTAACTGTTGTTTTATCAATTATACCGGTAACTAAAACTTCAGTGCATTAAATGAACTAAGATTTACGTGAGTCAATAAAATGGTGAGAATCAGCAGTTACAAAACTGGTTCATCTGTCATGATTAGAGAATCAAACATTGTTGTATCATGTTCTGACTTAAGGGGGTAGCTTAGCTAGGTAGAACAAGAGATGACTAGTACAATATATACAGATATATTTACATGAACATCATATATATAGGTAGCTAACAAATATATACAACAATGGAGAACAAACAACAGACTTCCCAGGAAGGTGAGAGCAAGCCTATCGATACTTCTTCACAGACCAAATGTTTTAGTTAGTTGACCAATCACAACAAGCATAGGATGTGTGGCCCCACAATACATATATCTACTATCATGGACATCAAAATATGAACATGAGTTTTTGTAATAATGCTTAATGTTTAAAACTAAAATAACTGTTAGAAACAGGTAGTTATTCATTAAATACAGAGCTAATTGACTGGTGTAATAAAGTTATTTTTAGGATAATGTTTCCACAGTTGGAATATGGGAATTAAGGTTTGTTCACATTCATACTTCGACAACACAAAATGGGAGATTTTGACAAGGCCTACTGAAGGAAGTGCTCTGCCCCTGTACTTGCATGTCCAAATTTTGGACAGGAATTTTTTGTATCAACAGATGCTTCTGATTCATCTATTGGTTTTGTCCTTTCTCAAAGAGATTAGAAAGATCAAAATCATCCCATAGCATATTGTGGCAGAGCTCTGCAGGGAAATGAAAAGAACTGGAACAATACAGAAAATGAAGGTTTGGCATTACTTGAGGCAATCAGAACATTTCATCCCTATTGAAATGGATAAAATCATTCAAAAATGCTACAGGCAGATTAGGTAGATGTTCGCTTGAACTGTCAGCCTACAAGTGTGACATCATTCGTAAGAGTGGCAAGCCCCATGGTAATGCAGATGCCTGATGTAGATGCAGTTTCAGGTGCTGCACACATTAACACAAACCAAACCTACATCATGTCATATCACACAACCTGTTCACCATCCGGTACAGACTCACCTGTCCCCACAGTACAACCTGAGGAATAATGAAGCACTGGTTGAGTATGAAGGAGATGACCACCCACTGTAGCCAGGCAGTGTTGTTGCTTCCTTACATGCTTCTGGTGCCAGTGTTACCAGTGATGTTCTTACAGAAACTGATCTCCTCGAATCACACCCAAACTCACACCACTTACAGAAACTGATCTCCAATCACACCCAAACTCACACCACTTACAAAAAAGGTTGTCCTAATTATTGCCAAATATTTGACTGTAAGATGATGAAAAGCAGAGTCAAGGGGTAACTACAGAGTGTAATCTTTTTGAGATAGATAATGACATTTTGTGTAAGTTTGTTCCACAGCACTATAAAAGTCACTCACAGACATTCCTGAAGCAGCTAGCTTTTCCAGGTACACTATGCACAAACTTACTGTGTGCTTACCATGATTCCAAGCTTGGACGTTGTCACCATGGTAAATAGGGAATCTCACCCAAGTGTCTTCTGATATCAATTATATCAACACGAGTTGATAAAGTTACAAATATCCAAGGCTTGCCGAGGATATTTTTACTTTCATTAACGAGTGTTGATACATTTGATATCAGAAGACATATGAGGGTGAGATTCTATTTATCATAAAAAATCACTCTCCAATGCAAAATGTACATCTCTAAACATGGTACTGCCATTAGACTTGCAGTGTGGCGATGTCATAGCATTGTGACATCATCAAGTTCATGACCTCATAGCATTGTCAGGGCATTGTACAAAATCTACTGTCAAAACGATACCTCCTAGGAGATTGATCTCACACAAGCAATATCACCTGTGGAACACAGTTTTGGCTTGGATGATAAAGAAAGAATCCACAACTTGATGTGACCCAAGTACTTGTGGTCCAGCATGTATTCCCATGATAGTAGATATATGTATTCAGTAAACATATCATTAAAAGAAACAACAGCTATACAAAGTGAAAACAGTGTTATTCATCTGACCAAATTAGTTCACTTCATCATTTTGTATCCTTTTCTGTACATGTTGATTTGGAAAACTGCAAATTCCAGAGAAAACCTGAAAACAACACTAGATACACAAACCCCCTAACTGTTTTATCATACCCTATAAACTGTCTATAATTAACATGTTTATAACAAACTGATGGATGAAATGAACCAGTTTTTTTTGTTCTGGCCACTTGCCTTATACAGAGACCATATACCCGTACATGGTCTCTGCCTTATACAGGTATTTTAGTTGAAACATGTATAATGAACTGCGTTCATAACTCACTAAAATTAGTGGTCCCATTGAGTTCATTATATTCATAGTGTACCATAATTTCAAAACATGACATTAAAATGTACTGTTTTTATCATTCAAGATTTACTAACTGGAAGTACTATAAGGTTACACAATAGTACTTATGTTAAAACTAAAATCTTTTTATAACAAATTTTACTGACTGTAGATACTCCAATGCTATAGAATATTAATAACACCAGCTGTTGATACTAAACTATTTATGTAAAGGTACAAGGTTTAGGTACTGTAAGGATGCAAAATAGTTTGAAAGTCATTTCATAATGATTTGAAATATGAGCGTGAGTAAGTTTGGTTTAACAGTATTCCAGTTACACTGTGGGACCTGCACCCCCTACTTAGTGCAGATATGCTATAAGCTACACAAGTTTGCAAAAGGTTTACCACAGTTGATCATAATTAATGCAGCATCATAAGAACTTCTTACTGAAATGTACACATACTTTGACAGATTCTATACATGATTTATCATGGAATTTTGCAGACAGATTATCATTCAACATCAGGAAGAATAGCAGCATATTTTCAAGCTGCAGGTGCTTTTTACAATTAATTCCTACTGAAATAGACATCAAAACCGTTTTGATTAACAGG